TAGACGTAAGACGGTGTTTGATCACGTACATCGAACGCACAAAGACATGGAGACACTCGTCCCGGCTTTTCGTCCTATTCCAGGGGCCAAGGAAGGGGGACGGTGCCTCCAAGGGCACCATCGCCAGATGGATCAGGGAGGCAGTTTCGGAAGGTTACAAGTCGGCAGGCCTGTCACCCACCGCCCGGCCTAAAAGCCCACTCCACAAGGGCCACTGCGGCCTCCTGGGCGGAAAAAGGGGGGGCCTCCCCCGGACAGATCTGCAGAGCCGCAACGTGGTCCAGTTTCGCCACCTTCACTAAGCATTACAGGCTGGATCTGATCGGCAGCAAGGACCAGGCATTTGGCAGGAAAGTCCTACAAGCAGGGTGCCCGCCCTAATGTACGTATTTCTATTCTACTCCTCTCAAGTGAGCTGTCCTAGAAGATGACTCGGGAAAACGCAGTTATTTACCTGTTAACTGTATTTCCAGGAATCTTCTAGGACAGCGTAACTCCCCCCCGATTACTGTTTGATCACACAATTATGTGCAGGTATGTTGCGAACCTATGGGGGATGTCTTTATTACTGGTTTTCTTCTTTGTTTTCTCCTAGGCCTTCGGTCATATTCTTATACTGGGGGCCAATGGGAGAGAGGACGCCTATAAAGGGAAAAAAAAGGTGGAGCGGGTGTTTCCTGGGAGGAGCCCTATCTCTCAAGTGAGCTGTCCTAGAAGATTCCTGGAAATACAGTTAACAGGTAAATAACTGCGTTTTTTTTCTAGAGATCCATTGCATCTCACTCTTTGGTCCGCACCTGTTTACAAGGATGATGCGTATGGCTTCTCCTGTCAGGTTGCCCTTGTGTCCTTGGGACCTGAACTTGGTTTTGGAAGTTTTGCAGAAGCCACCATTTGAACCCATTGGAGAGATTCCACTGGTCCTGTTGACTCGTAAGGTGTTGTTTCTAGTTGCAATCACTTCTGCGAGAAGGGTGTCAGAGCTGGCAGCTCTATCTTACAGAGAACCATTTTCTGGTTTTGCATCATAAGGTGGTGTTGCGACCTCATCTGTGCTCTTTACCTAAGGTGGTTTCTGGTTTTCGTTCTTTCCTAGTAAGCAAAAGAAAGATCTCTGCATACCTTGGATGTGGTTCGTGTTGTAAGGGACTTCTTGAAGGTGCCGCAGCACAGGTCAGGAGATCAGATGCTCTATTTGTGCTGCCAGAGGGGCCTGGGAAGGGGCAGACGGCATCCAAGAAGACTATTTATCATTGGATATGCCAATTGAACATTCAAGCTTATGGCTTGAAAGGTGAAGTCCCACCCTTTCGGGCGAAGGCACAACCCTACCAGGAGTGTGGGGGCATCTTGGGCAATCTGCCATCAGGCATCAGTGGCTCAGGTTTGCAAGGCCGCTACATGGTCATCGGTTCACACATTCTCAAGGTTCTACCAGGTGGATGTCAGAGCCGCAGAGGATTCTGCTTTTGTCCGCAGTGTTTTACACTCTGCTGAGTAGGTCCTGAGGGATTATGGACGGTTGCTATCATGGTGTCACCCTCTCCTCCAAATGTCTTATTGCTTTGGGACATTTTCACAGTCATGAATAGCCTGGTGTGTGGCCCCTGATGTACGATAAATATAATTGGATTTTTTTTTCTACATATTTACCTGTAAAATCCATTTCTTGGAGTACATCACAATTCCCCTCTTTCTGGAATTTTCATTGCTTGATACAAAAACCTGAAGTACTTCCTGTATAGGAGGGGGTTATATAGGGGAGGACCACCTCTGATTGGTTAGCCAGTGTCCATTCACCTGTAGGTGGCCTATCCAAGAAATGGATTTTACAGGCAAGTACCGTATTTTCCAGCGTATAAGGCGACTGGGTGTATAAGATGACCCCCTAATTTTCCAGTTAAAACATAGGTTTTGGGCTATACTCGCAGTATAAGACTACCCCCCTTCCGAGGCAACACCATTTAAAAACATCAGATTTTTTAATTGAAATGGTTATGACTTACCGATACTTAAAATCCTTCAAAATCCTCATGTTCATCCTCTGACATCAAAAGTTCAAGAATGACATCTTGTGAAACATTTGTAAGACAGTCATCATATGGATCAAATTCCAAATCAGATGGTTACCGCTGGATGTGCGGTAATACGGTAGCTTCGGCTACATACAGCCCGCTGGATGTGCAGTAATGTACATACAGTATACCGTGCTGAGCCAAGCTGGCTCAAAACAAATGTCCCTATGAGAGATTAATCTGTCAGCCCGCTGGATGTGCAGTATATACAGTATACTGAGCCAAGCGGTTTCAAAACGTACCGGTACGTCCCTACGGTAATCAGACCGCTGGATGTGTGTATGTACGGTAGCTGAGGCTACATACAGTATACGCTGGGCCAATTACGGGGAGTGATGTATTCTACTAATGAATACAAAGCCTGCTCGGATTGGCTGAGGTTGTGACATCAGCCCACCTCTCTGACTCAGCCAATCCAAGCAGGCTTTGTATTCATTAGTAGAATACATCACTCCCCGTGATTGGCCCAGTGTATACTGTATGTAGCCTCAGCTACCGTACATACACGCATCCAGCGGGCTGATTACCGTAGGGACGTACCAGTACGTTTTGAAACCGCTTGGCTCAGTATACTGTATATACTGCACATCCAGCGGGCTGACAGATTAATCTCTCATAGGGACATTTGTTTTGAGCCAGCTTGGCTCAGCACGGTATACTGTATGTACAGTATTACCACACATCCAGCCAGCTTGACCCAAACAAGCTCAAGGTTCACATTTTATACCCCGCATATAAGACGACCCCCAATTTTTGGGGTATATTTTTAAGTATAAAAAGTAGTCTTATACGCCAGAAAATACTGTAAGTAGAAAAAAAAAAATCTAAATTTCAGAGGGATGCAGCACTCTTGAAATTGCTAAGATATTGGGGCGTGATCACAGAACCATCAACGGTTTTGTTGCAAATAGTCAACAGGGTTGCAAGACATGTTGAGAAATAAAGATGCAAATTAATTTCCAAAGATTTGAGAAGAATCAAACTTGAAGCTATCAGGAACCCATTTTTCTACAGTGCTGTCATATTCCAGAACTGCAACCCACCTGGAGTGCCCAGAAGTACTAGGTGTTCAGTGCTCAGAGACATGGTCAAGGTAAAAAAGGCTGAAACCCGACCACCACTGAACAAGAAAAATAAATTGACAGGTCAAGACTGGGCCAAGAAAAATCTGACAGATTTTTCAAAGGTTTTATGGACTGATGAGTGAAGAAGTGAGAAGCGGATTTCTCTCCTCTCAGCGCAGGGATGACAGTACAAGCTAAACTGCTTCTGATTGATTGGTCAGCACCATCACAGTGCTGACCAATCAAAAACCGTTTGGCCTGTACTGTCATCCCAGCAAAGAGAGGAGAGAAATATGCTTCACAGGTCTGGGGATTTGAAATCCATGTGGCTTTCTCTTCTCTCCTTGCAGAGATGACATTATGGGATAGACTGTTTCTGATTGGTCAGCATCACCATGGAACTGACCAACCAAAAGCCGTCTATCCCGTACTTTCATTTGTGCACTTAAATTTGAGAGGAGAGAAACTGCGGGGGTTTCAAATCCCCAGCTTTTCCTTCTGTAATGGCATGGTATCAATGCAGGGAGGGTTGCCTGCACCTTGCCTGTGTGAACTCGCCCTATGGCAAGTCTGGGCTGACACAGGAGCAGTGGGAAAACAGCATACAATATGGACAGGAATCGCATTCCTCTTCAAATCACATGCTTTTCTTTGCGGTGTAATTTGGCTTCATATATTTTTGTATTGAGTACTCCTGAAAATACTCTGTATCAGTATCTGTGCATCCCAAATAAAAATACATACTTGCCTTTTCAATTATTTGTTGAGCAGAAAATATAAAATTTATATAGTAGTGTACTCTGGAAAAAGCAAGTACACCCTTGGCCTCGGAAGCTGGTATTGCCCATGTAGCAAAAATACTTATTCCAGAAACCGGGTCTTTGCCTATATGTTCAATGGCAAACTAATCTTGCACACCTCCTATGCATGAGAAAGTAAACTTTAAAAAAAAAAAAACTGTAGAAGAGACAAGTCTGTTCTGCCAAACAATTGCTACTTCTCGCTGCTAGCGATTTTTTTTTTTTTTGTGTTTACCAGTGCATGCACCATGTAGTGTACACTTCCAGCTTCTACCAGAAGCTAGGAATGTCAAAATGATATAACTTGTTTGCAGAAATTACATCATATGAGGCTTCCCAATGGGCGAAAATGACAACGGGGGACCCAAATTACACTGCAAAGGAGATGTTGGGGGATGGCGCAGCAGTTGATTGCATAGATTGATCAGCGCTGGCAGAGGGCACGAACATAAGTTGTGTGCCATAAAAAGGTTACCCACTTTACATTCTTTTTCTATTGGTGCAGTCTATTTCCAATTTATAGATGCATGCACTTTTACATAAAACTGTGCCTTTGTGCGTCCACATTCATAAGAAAACATGACATAATAGATGGTACTGAGCCAGGCAGGGCTGTTGGAGGTGTGCTGTTTTTCTACACTGAGAAGTGCAAGAAGGGCGTGTGAGCAGGCACATTCACCTGCAAAGGCACAATGTTCCCGGTAAAGCCCAGAAGGACGTCTGATTAGAAACAATAGTCTGACCTAGACAATCAGCAGTTACAGTAATGCATAGTATGTATAATAACGTTTTCATCATTATACATACTAACCAAAGGCAAATTTTAACTTTTTAACTGCAATTCCCCTTTGAATTCACTATTTTTAGCAGCACAATATATTACAACACACTGCTGTGCTGCTAGACAAGGTGTTTTCTATGGCACTAGTGATGATCTGCATTGTTCTTGTTTTAGAAAAACACAGATTACCACTTCTAGTTTGAATGAGGCTATACTGTATGCAGCTGTTCCCACACTTTTGCCTTTTGTATTCATGCTGTTCCTTTTTTTTTTCTTCCAGGTCTCTTTGTCCTGCTCCAAAAAGTGAGTATGTTTTGAGAAGTGAAATTATTAGTTCCACAACCAAATTTTGGCAAGATTTCAGTGTGGATACAAGTAGCAAAGTTCCACTTTTATTATGTCCCTTGTAAAGGAAGTTCAAACCAACAGCTGCTTTGAAATTGTTCTAGTTTGTCCCAACATCTGGCACTGTTACCTTTGCATGTAAATGTGGAAAGTCATATCAAAGACCTATGAAATATATACATTATACAACACAGTCATGGCCAAAAATATTGACACCCCTGCATTTTTGTCAGATAATGCACCACTTCACCCAGAAAAACTGTTGCAATTACAAATGTTAAGGCATTCTCATGTTTTATCTCTTTTGTTTGATGACACAAAAAGTGGAGAAATAAAAAGCCAAATCTGACACATTCCATACAAAACTCCAACAATGAATAACACAATTGTCCACAGAACTAAATCTCTACATATATTCTTTTCTCCAAATCTTGTGCATATAAGATATACTGATTGCACAAGATTTGGAGAAAAGCACAACGTACACAAACTGGTAAAAATACAAACTAACACACTGGTTTTGCGCAACACTTTTTCTATTTGTATTCGATGCCAGCTCTGGGAGTACCAGGGTTCTAATGCTAAATAAAAGAGAAATGGTAAGATTCTTACCCTTCTTTACCTTTCCTGGTGAACTCCTGGGCAGCATATGCAAGGGTTATAGCTCTGCCCCTAGCCCTCTTACCAGTTAGGAATAAAATACAAAATAGAAAACAGTGCAGCGCTGAAAAATGACACAATAATAAAAATAATAGATCATAAGAAATTATAATAAATAGATCATTATTGGTGATATAATTTATTAATAAATTATAATAGATCATTATTCGTGATATAAAGTATAAGTGAATGAAGCGCTATGATTAGCGCAATAAAAAGAGAATAAGTGCAACTCTGAAAGTCTTAAAAGCAAAGAGTGTTCATAAAGTGGTGAAGGCGTGACACATTGGGGTCAGCATACAGTGTTGCAAATGGGTCCTGTTGCACAGATGGTGTCAAATTATTCCGTGTGGCTAAATCTGTGTGGGAAAATAAAAATGCGCACTCACCAGATGCGCATAATTAAAGCGCAATATGTTGAACAGTATATTGCAACCAAGAATCAGCAGGAAGTCCCATTGCTATAAGCAAATTGTGTAAAAAAAAAAAAAAAAAAAAAAAAAAGTGAAAATTCTTTTTATTTTTTTCATTTTCCGAAAAATGACAAAAAAAATTACGACTTCAAAAAACTAGCCATTCCTCTTATGAAGTACGTCGGACTGTATACTCTGCAAAAAGTGGTAATTTGGGGGATATCTGTACTATTCTGACATTCTTGGACCTCAAGAAATTAGATTGGCTGTCAGTACTTCAGGGACTGATCAATATTCAGATCTATACCATAGTTTGTGAACTCTATAACTTTCCTACAAACTAAAAAATACATCCTAATTTGGGTTATTTTTACCAAAGACATGTAGCAGAATACATCTCGGCCTAAATTTATGGAGAATAATTATTTATTTGTAAACTTTTATAACAGAAACAAAGAAAACCGTGGGTTTTTTTTTTTTTTTTTCAAACTTTTCGGACGTTTTTGTTAATTTTAGCAAAAAATAAAAACCCCAGCGATTGATTAAATACCACCAGAAGAAAGCTCTAGTTGTGTGAAGAAAATGATAAAATTTTAGTTTGGGTACAATGTTGTATGACCGCGCAATTGTCATTCAAAGTGTGAGAGCGCTGAAACCTGAAAAATGGCCTGGGCAGGAAGGGGGTAAAATTGTCCGGTATTGAAATGGTTAAAAAAAAAAAACAGTTTCCTCATCCTGAATATTTTCAGATTTATTTTTACAAAGTGTTTTCTATTTAGAATTATCACCTCTTTATGTTCTCTTGCAGAAGTAACAAGTGAAAGAAAGGGAATATGCCCATTCTGCTTCCAGATTTTTACACCTGATAATCATAAAGTTCGCCTGAGGCCAAAAATGAAGATAACTCCCCGCATTGAAATCTTATTAAAGAAAGAAGCAAAATGTCACAGATTAAACCTCAAGCAAACAAAACTCCTTAGAAAATACAAATGTTCGAGGAGCGTCCTGGTAAGATATTTTGTTAGAGTACATATATATTATTATGTATGTTTGTGACAGTTTTTGTTTTGTGTGAGATGGTGAATAATATAATCTATAGCTTTAAAAAATGCATTAAAGTCTAGTATTTTTCAACCAACCAATTGGGTTCAACGCCAACCCAAATGACAGTTTGCAAAAACGCTGTGTATCATAAATATTGACCTATTTTAAAAAAAATAAAATGCTACGTTCACTTATTTTGCCCTTCGTGGTATCTCAGTACAGCTGGTCACCTGCAGCCTTTTTGCAGCCACTACCTGTCCACAGGCTTTGCAGCGATACCCTTTTTTTGTTTGGCGAGTATGAGTACCGATACTTTCGATCAAGTACTCGCCAGTACCGAGTACCAATACTTTGCGGTGCAATTTGCGTCTATGCAAAATGTATGAACGCAAATTGCTCCATGAAGAATAGCGTGCGATTTGAACAAGAATGCAATTTTTGTCCAAGTCGCATGCAGTTTCCCCACTGCTCCTGTGTGAAACCAGGAGCAGTCGTAGCCTGAGTTCACACAGGAGTGATGTGGGAAACCTCCCTGCACCAAACCCACGCTGTCATAGAAGGAAAAGCTGGGAATTTGCAATCCCTGCAGCTTTCTCTCCTCTCCTTGCAGGGATGACAGTACGGGCTAGCTGGCTTCTGATTGGTCTGCACCATAACAGTACTGACCAATCAGAAGCCTCTAGCCCGTACGATCATCAGTGCAAGGAGAGGAGAAAAAGCCACGGGGTTTAACGTCCCCAGCTTTTCCATCTGTGATAGCATGGTATCAGTACAGGGATGTTTCCCACACCACTCCTGTGTGAACTGAGGCTATGACAAGCCTGGGTTCACACAGGGGTAGTAGGGAAACCGTATGTGACTCGGACAAGAATAGCATTCCTGTTCAAATCGCATGCTGCTCTTGCAGTGCAATTTGCGTCTATACATTTTGTATTGACGTAAATCGCAACGCAGAGTATCAGTTTCAGGTTTTGGAAAAATTTCCACGAGTACTGAAAATATTTGGTATCTGTGCATCCCTAGTATTTTTCAATACAAAATTTAAAGAAAAAATATGGCACTCAGAGTATGAAGATGACAGACAGCCAACAGCTTCTGCCAATAGAAGTTCCACAGGAGACTTCATGCTTGTATTTAGGACCAGATATCCCTGCAACCCAGCATAGCTACAATCCATTTTGTAAAGTATTGCCCCAGATCATACTTCATACTTTGCAATCTTGATCATGACTTTTCACTGTCCTTTTTTACAGATGTTACAAAAGGCTAAAAGTGCCCAAGGGAACTCAAAATTTCTACTTGTTTGGCATGCTGATGCATTGGCTTTTAATGCTTTGAGTAACTTACCTGAAACAAGTATGGACAGATGCAATTCTGACACTCTTTCCAGCATGCATGTTATAGGTGACTCTAAGTATTGAAGTCAGATGCCACCAGGCAACTGGCATTTTCAGAAGGCGGCTCTCAATGGCAGCCACCATACTTGACAAACTTTGCCAACTTTGCTTTCATGTTTTCACCTACTCACTTTCTATGAGAACGTTTAAAGGTGACTGCACAAAAAGGATCAGCTTAAAGCTTTTCTAATTGCCGCAGTAAAGTGGAATGAAAAGCCATGATGCCCTGGATCATATTTCCACTTTACAATCTAAAGCAATGGCTGCATGGCATTTCTGAGGGTGGGCTTCCTGATGGAGCAGTGCCTAGTGCTGGCATAATGTGTGCTGAAAATGTCACCTGTAGTCTCAACCAAAGAGCTTTTAGCAATGCTACAATTGTATTATGTAGATACAAATTTATTTGTAATGTCCAAACAGTTTATCAAATATGTTTAATAGTTTTTACCTCTCTTTGTTTGGCAAGTAATCCCTTTCTGCCACTGGGAGTTGGCCCTTTAAGGGCATTTTAAGACTGGGGCTTCCAGATTTAGACATGTGACTGGGAGGCTTTTATAACTTAAGAAAAATGTATAAATTACGCATAAATTTTAAGGAAGATTGTTGATGTATGAATGGTATGGTCACAAGGTCTCTTTAAGTGTGTACCTGTACGGATCTGATGATATAATGTGAAGTGGCAGCAGAATGTCAGTGAAGGCACCCAGAGGTTAACTATTTATCTTTTGATCACCAGGAAACTGCCCTTGGCACTTTGCCTGAGGTATTGGAGTGCCATGTATGATTCACTTCTCTGTGCTTACTGGGAAGAAATACCTGTTTTTTTGCTTCCAAGCTGAACTGGGCAGCAGAGTGGCTAAATGGTTAGCACTTCTGCCTGGCAGTACTAGGGTTACTGGTTCGAATCCCAACCACGGCACCACCTGTCTGGAGTTTGCATGTTCTCCTGTATCTGCGTGGGTTTCCTCCAGGTACTCGGGTTTCTTTCCACACTCCAAAAACATGCTGGTAAGATAATTGGCTCCTGTCTAAATTGGCCCTAATATGTGTATGTATGAATGTGAGTTAGGGACCTTAGATTGTACGCCACTTGAGGGTTAGGGACTGATGTGAATGCACAATATATATGTAAAGAGTGCTGTGTAAATTGATGGTGTTCTAGGAGTTATTTCAGGTACTTGTATATCACACCTACTCATTTACGTAAAGAAGTGTGTAATTTTTCCAAACTTAGTTTATCTTGGATTTGGAGACCATAACATATTTTACTTTGCCAGCAAGGCCAAATAATTATAATATTTTTTAACACTGAAAATGTTTCTCCATCTCAGTGAAATGAAATCTTCTTTATATAGACCCATATAAAGTATCACCAATGATGAAGTCATTCATTTGAGATCTCTTTGTACTAGGCTTTTCATTTGTGGTACATGATTTCTTATATGTTAAGATGTCTTATTGTCCATAATTTTGCTAAATTTTTAAATATGTATATTTTAACCACTACAAGACTGGTCATTATAGTTTAACAGCTAGGCAGTCTGTTCCTATTCTGAGTGGGCGCTTTTTTTTGTACCTTGTGATTGCTGTGACCAATCACTAGTGTAAACCCATTGTGGGAGAAAGGGAAGAGCTAAGGTACCAGTTGCAGCCAGTGATACAGTGTACAAATTGGTGCCCCTTGCCAGATCCTGATTACAGCTAGGGTTTCCAATTTACTGACATCAACCAGTGCCAGTGTTTTCAGTGTTGATGATTCCAGCCAGTGCTTGATTGTAGCCAGTGCCAGGATTTCCAGTTCCTAATCACAGCCAGCCAGTGCCAGTTTGTTGATTCACAAGGGTGCCAGATTGTTGACTGCAGTCAGCACAAGGGTGCCAGATTGTTGACTGCAGCCAGCACAGGTTTACAGATTGTTGACTGCAGTCAGCACAAGGGTTGCCAGATTGTTGACTGCAGTCAGCACAAGGGTTGCCAGATTGTTGACTGCAGTCAGCACAAGGGTTGCCAGATTGTTGACTGCAGTCAGCACAAGGGTTGCCAGATTGTTGACTGCAGTCAGCACTTGGTTGCCAGTTTGTTGACTGCAGCCAGCACAAGGGTTGCCAGATTGTTGATCGCAGTCAGCACAAGGGTTGCCAGTTTGTTGATGCAGTCAGCACAAGGGTTGCCAGATTGTTGAGTCAGCACAAGGGTTGCAGATTGTTGACTGCAGTCAGCACAAGGGTTACCAGTTTGTTTGAGTCAGCACAAGGGTTGCCAGATTGTTGACTGCAGTCAGCACAAGGGTTGCCAGATTGTTGACCGCAGTCAGCACAAGGGTTGCCAGATTGTTGACCGCAGTCAGCACAAGGGTTGCCAGTTTGTTGACCGCAGTCAGCACAAGGGTTGCCAGATTGTTGACCGCAGTCAGCACAAGGGTTGCCAGTTTGTTGAGTCAGCACAAGGGCAGATTGTTGACCGCAGTCAGCACAAGGGTTGCCAGATTGTTGACCGCAGTCAGCACAAGGGTTGCCAGATTGTTGACCGCAGTCAGCACAAGGGTTGCCAGATTGTTGACCGCAGTCAGCACAAGGGTTGCCAGATTGTTGACCGCAGTCAGCACAAGGGTTGCCAGATTGTTGACCGCAGTCAGCACAGGGTTGCCAGATTGTTGACCGCAGTCAGCACAAGGGTTGCCAGTATTGACCGCAGTTGATTGTTGCGCAGCCAGCACAAGGGTTGCCAGTTTGTTTGCCAGCACAAGGGGTTGCCAGTTTGTTGATCGCAGCCAGCACAAGGGTTGCCAGTTTGTTGATCGCAGCCAGCACAAGGGTTGCCAGTTTGCTGATCGCAGCCAGCACAAGGGTTGCCAGTTTGCTGATCGCAGCCAGCTTTTATATTTTCACCTTGGGGTGTCTGCTTTGCAAACGTGGTCATTTTCTGGGTGTTTCTACAGTTCTTGCCCTTTAGATCCTCTGTAAATATGATAGTAAGGATATCAGATGTGTAATTTGTGCTCCTTGGATTTGAGCCCCCTGTATGCAGCTAGGCAGAAAAAAGTCTCACACAGGGTATCCCCATACTAAGCTGAAATAACAGACTGGGGGGATTTACTGAAACCTGAGAATGCAAAATCTGATGTAACTGCATAAAAACCAGTCGGCTTCCAGGTTTTATTGTCCAAGCATAATTGAACAAGCTCAAATTAGAAACTGGCTACCTTGCACAGCCTCATCAGACTGAGTGCTCCAATTTTAGTAAATCTCCCCCACTGTGTTTTAGAATGCAGTTTTACAGATGTCCATGATGTGTGGGGAAAGTATGCTATTAAAAGGACAACTTGGCAAAAAATGAAATCTTCTAAAGACTCACTATGCTTCTCAGCAAATACCTTGGGATGTCTGTTTTCCAAAAACAGGGGTGTTTGTACTGGCATTTTTTTAAGGCCTCAAGAAATGTGATCGGCAGTCAGAACAACATAATTTGTATTCGCACACATTTCCGTCTAACTTTGTGAAGGATTATTTCTTTTAATATGATCTATAACAAAAAATATGGGGAACTTTTTTCTTTTTTTTTTTTCTTCCTCTTCTAGTAAGAAAAACCCTGGCAGTTATTAAATACTGACACAAAAATCGTTCTCTGTACCAAACAAATTATACAAACTATCACTGCACTAAGAGACAGGCCTGGTAAAAGGGTGTGTAACATGATGGTAGTGAAGAGGATACTGAACACAGAAAACCTGCGCTGCCCCTATACCCCAAAAGGAAAACCGCATAGACCTATACCCCAAAAACAGAATGGCTGCTAGCATCCAACTATATAACCACATAGTGAGAACACAGCAGGACAAAGGCGGCGAGGCACCACCATTGTATCCCACTGTTTTCCCACAGTTGATATGTTGGCCATACAGGCTTAGATTTCCCTTGTTCAGTCTCTCGATTTTCCTCTCCTGCCCTCTATTATATTCAGACTAAACACTCAAATAGTAGCTGTATATGATTGGGTAGTCACTTGTTTGGACCATTATTTTGCGCACAGCTCTCCTCCTCCTTTCTTCTTGTGTTTGTAGATCTGAATGGTGCCTACAAGGACAGCCATGATTTAAATTCTGACTGATTAGTAGGAATTTGTGCCATGTATGGCCAGTTTTTCTCTCAGAACGACACTGCTGCTCAGATGTGTTTGAATGGTATTTGTACATCATGAACTTTCTGTTTACAGTTTGTGCTTTACAATTTGTTTTATTTAGTGGGTGTTTTTTGTGTGAACAATGAGATGGGAGGTTATCACAATAGTGGCTTTTTATCAGATCAATTCATATTAAACTGACAGCTTGGCAATAGGCGCTTCCTGTACATCTGACTAAGATCTGCACATTTGAAGGGCATTCATGCCTAGAGGTAAGGGTCGGTTTTGCTTTCATAACATCACTATTCATGCTAATGGGTAATACAGTGCTTGCTTATCTATAATATTGTCAATATTGTCTGTCAACTGCTGACCTTCCCATAGTTGCGCAATCAAAACTACACTGGCTAAGGGCATTAGGTTCAATTACATCACAGTATGTTCTGGTTTGTGATGGCCTTTTATGTATTTGCACATGGGAAGATCAATAAATGATGTCTGGGCACTAGAGATTGTAATCTGCTGACATTTGTAATGAAAATTGATTACAAGAGTAGATATACATTTATTTCTGTACATGACTTAAAGTTGGGGAAACTCAATGGGGAGAATTTATCAACACTGGAGCAGACCAAATTATTTGAAGCAGCTGTTTATAGAAACCATCAGCTTCTATCCAGCTAAAGTGGAAGTAAAGTCCACTCGAAGCACAAAATAGAACTGTCTATTCATACTGATAAGTAAGAACTGTAGATTGCTGATCCAGGAAGTAGCCTGTTGCTATAATAGGTCAGACAGATTTATTTATTTTCCTATTTGTGAGTTTACGATTTTGGCGATTCATGCTTTTTATTTTTTTGGTTGGTGCTATTAGGGCACTTAAATGCTGAAATTAGAAGTGCCCAGAGCTGAGTGCTTCAGGTTTTGATCCATGCAAGGGAGATTGGTGGCTTCCATTCCAAAGCCCCATCATATGTCACAGGCTTATAGAGCAGAAAAGGTAAGCTCAGAGATCCTATTGGAGGGGAGACCACTACTGTACCAGTCAGTAGAAGTGATTGGGTGGCCAGTGGCCCAGATCACTTCTGCTAAAATAGGAAAGCTGCAAGAGCTACAGCAAGCTGATAAGCCATCATAAGCTTGCTTTAACACTTTTTTAAGTTCCATGTATTTCCTTGGCAGTCATAACGTTAAGTATATATATATAAGTCTGACATTAACTGCCTCCCGCCCGCCATATAGTACAATGATGGGCGCAAGGTGGTTCTCTCGTTCTGGGAGGACGTCATACGACATCCTCCCATTCTAACTGCGTATGTGCGGCTCCGGGAGCGTGCAGCACGGCGATCTGCGGTGCACTGTGCCTTCAGACACAGCAGATCACCGATCAATGAAAAGAGCCCAAGATGTCGGCTCAGTCATGTGATCAGCTGTGTCCAATCACAGCTGATCGCATGTAAATAGGGAAATGCCGGTTATCGGCATTTCTCTCCCCATGAGCTGTCACGCTGATAGCTCGAGAGGAGAAGAGAGCCGATAATCGGCATTCCTCAGAGGTGACATCTACACTGATCATCAGGTCATGGTCTGTGTAGCCCCAGCAGTGCCACCTGTCAGTGTCCATCAGTGCCACATTTCAGTGCCTACCAGTGCACATCAATGCCACATATCGGTGCCCATCTGAGCTGCCTTTGTGTCACCCATCAGTGCCACCTATCAATGCCAGTCAGTGCCACCTATCAGTGTGCATCAGTGCCGCCTTTCAGTGCCACCTATCAGTAACCATTAGTGCCGCCTATCAGTGCCCATCACTACAGCCTCATTAGCGCACATCAGGGAATCACTTATTTACAAAATTTTATAACAAAAACTAAGAAAAAAACATTTTCTTTTTCAAAATTTTCAGTGGTTTTTGGTTTGTTTAAGAAAAAATAAAAACCCAGAGGTGATTAAATACCAGCAAAATAAAGCTCTGTCACAAAAAAATTATAAAAATGTCATATGGGTACAGTGTTGCATGACCGTGCAATTGTCATTCAAAGTGCAACAGCGCTGAAACCTGGAAATTGGCCTGGGCAGGAAGGGGGTATAAGCGCCCTGTAGGCGAGTGGTTAAACATCTAACTTGCTACTGTTTGGTCTATTAATAAAAACATTGAAAGCATTCGGTTATATCTAGAAGATAAGTGCAAAAAAAAAAATCTCTTTTTGAATGGGAAAGAGGAGAGGAGGGGTGGGCAGAGTGACTACAAATGTCTCCAGTGTCAGAGCACCTTAAGTATAGTGATAGCTATACTCAGGTGCTCCGTAAAATTTAAATGGTAAATAAAAGGGAGATGTCCATGAGGTGGCATACACCTGATTGGAATTAACCCTTTATAAGCCAGCACATTTTTAAAAGTGCTGGAGTTCCTTAAACCGTGTTCAATGCTCCTACTTTTTATCCTGAACTACAGAACAATTACTTTCCTATGTTGTAAAGATATGGAGAGTAGAAGGCTTTTTGTAGTTTGACAAAAGACAAGGCTTAGAAAAGGCACTTTTGTGTCAGCCCACAACAGAAAATTAAGAGCCAAATGTATTTCTATCAAGATCAACAAGAATTTTTCTGTATGTGCAGTGTCTTTAACCACTTCAAGTCCGAACACTTTAACCCCCTTCCTGTCCAGGCCAATTTTCAGCTTCCAGCGCTATCACACTTTGAATGACAATTGCGCGGTCATGCAACACTGTACCCATATGAATTTTTTAGTATTTGTTTTGAGATAGATAAAGCAATATTCTGGTGGTATTTGTTCACCACTGGGATTTTTTTTTTTTGCTATATAAATGAATGTCCAAAAACTTTTAAAAAAAAGTGTTTTTCCTATAAAATTTTGCAAATAAATATTTCATCAATCTTGGCCAAAATGTATTCAGTTATCTTTTTAGTAAAAAAAATAACCCAAATTAGTTTATAACCAAAAATTATAATTGTAAAAAAGATTTTACATTTTTATTTTTCTTATTTGTTTTTTACATACTGTCATCCTAGCAGTACAGTGTCACCATGGTGACTAAACTACTTGTGGGGGGTGATTTTTTTTTTTTTTACACTGATTGCTTTTACACCCATAAAGGCTGTAAAAGCAATCCTTTCTCCTTCTCTCTGGCTGCATTCTTGCAACCATTGAGAAATACTGTAAGAGCTGTGATTGGTCACAGCTTGTCACATGGTACAAGGCTGTTGTGAATAGCCTTGTACCATGTGACCTCTGTGATCATTCACAGATTTCACACGTAGTAAGCAATGATGTCGGGAAGTGACATCTTGCTTACTACTCTGGCCAATCAGTGATCACATGCAATCAGTGATCACATGATCGGGACCTCGTACAGAGGTCCCGTACAATGATTGGTGTTCCACTTTGTCCAGAGGACACAGCGGGCACCGGATCGCAGCGCTGAGCGCTCCCAGGGAGCGCGGCACAGTCCAAAATGGCGGGCACCGTTTATGAACGGCAACCCGCCCCTGGACTGCCACTGTCTGGCCGTTAATATACAGCGGCTGGACAGCAAGTGGTTAAAGAGAATAAACATGATGAAATGTGCACGTACTACAGAGATATACATTTTTTTTTTTTTTTCATTTTAGTTTTTTTGCCTTGCCATTCCCTTTACAAGGTCACTAACTTGTTACTGTTCCTGCCAAATACTTCTTCACTTTGCAGGGGCATAAATATATCAACATATTTGATTTTACAGCTTAGGGTGGTAGCAGTAATGATTTTAGAGGAACTACCACACAACAGGCATTCCCTCAGTTACTATTGACGTTTGATTTGCATCACTAGTGCTGTATAAATGTGCTGATCTCTGTGTCTGAGTACCATTTGATTTTGCCAGCTGAACCTAGTTCTCCCTGGTCTCCTTTCTATACAGGATGGCAGCTTTTACTTCAGTAATGAGCTTTTTATTCTTTCTTCCTTTTGAACTTAAATATTTGATGCAGCATGTGTGCACTAGTTAATGCAAACAGAAAAATGACAGTGTGACAATTTCTATAAAATAGTTTTGTGGGTTTTTTTTTTTTTTTTTTTTTACATAGCTCGTGTGTTTTTTTTTTTTTTTTTTTTTTTTTTTTAAACTTTGTAACATTTTGTTCAACTCTCTGGTTACCACTTTTAACTGTGTAATAGTTCATTTAATTCCTGTAATACACTGTGTGCCTGTTTTTATTTTATTATGTATATATTTATTTATTTCCTGTTATTTTGTTATACTTGCTGATAGCTATGATTGCTTTTGTGGAAATCTAAATGTATTCCTTTTTTTCCAGGTGGTCACTTGCAACACATGTAAATTGGTTTCCAAATATCCTGGTGAAAGCAGAAGTGGTCTTGCTAATGGTCCAGGTACACCTAAAACAAAGAGGAATTTGGGGTCTCCTGACCTGAGGACACCTGGATCGAATAAGAAGGTGAACCTCTCTTACAGCGAAGAGAAGCTCAGCTCAAAAAGCAAAAGCCCAGTACTAACCCCCAGGTATAGTATAATCATGCGTTGTGTTGTCAGCCACCACTGTGCTTTCTTTATAGTTTGTGGTATAGACCTGTTGACGTGAGCAGCATGTTAGAAATCTTTTGAGGATGTAAACACTGCCAGTGTATCGTTTGGATGCAGTGTATATATTCTAGAAAACGAGAATTTTTATATCAGATAGTCCAGCATGTTAATGTAGTCGGCCAATTTTACTTGATAATGGATTGGCAGATACTGTATGTTCTTGTACTTGTGTGAACTTAATGATGGTTTTACTGCTACAAGGAAAATGTGTGTTACCAAAAGTGGAAGTACAAGCTGCCAGACCAAATTCAAAATGTTGGGCCTCTGGGAGGTTTTTGCCATAATGTGTAACTATGCACAGCGTATTCTCAACCTCTCGCTTGGCTCAGAACACGTAACTTCTATGCACCTGAGTTATGCCTGTGTGTATAGTTAAAAGTTCTAGAGAAAGTGCCCGCCTGTCAGCACTTTTACAAAATTGCCTTACCTCCTCCATTGTTTGAAAAAATATGGTATTTTTAAAGTAATGATAATGAAGCTTTCTCACAAATCAGAGATGGCTGTCTCACCGAGAACCATGCACTCTTATTTAACCACTTGCCCTCCAGAGGATTTACCCTCTTCCTGACCAGCCCATTTTTTCCGATACAGCGCTGCGTTACTTTAACTGACAATTGCGCAGTCATGCAATGCTGCACCCAAATTAAATTTGTCCTTTTTTCCTACAAATATAGCTTTCTTTTGGTGGTATTTGATTACCTCTTTGTTTTTTATTTATTGTGCTATAAACAAAAAAAAGACTGAGCATTTTGAAAAAAAAAAAACAGTATTTTTGACTATTTACTATAAAACATATTCAGTAAAAAATTTTTAAAAATCTAATTTCTTCATAAATTTTAGGCCAAAATGTATTCTGCTACATGTAAATTAATTGGCTTACGTGAAAGTTATAGCGTCTACAAATGGTGTATATATACTGGAATTTTTTATTATTTTTATACTAGTAATGGCGGCGATCATTGACATATTGTGGGACTGCGGTGGGCATATTGCCAATGACATTCCAATGACACTAATACAGTGATCAGTGGTAATAAAAAGCACTGACACTGTACTAATGACACTGGGCAGGAAGGGGTTAACATCTGGGGCGATCAAAGGGTTAACTGTGTGCTGTTTTACATGATGTGCTGTGTGTGTTTTACTAGGGAAACATGCTGGGCATTTCTCTGCTGTGCAGAGAAATACCCAGCAGCATGTTCTTGCTGGTAGGAGAGAAACCTGTGTTTACTCACAGACCTCTGCCCTGTCAGTGTTACTCAGCAATCGCCGGGTGCCGGTTGAGAATCTCTATTCGGGACACGGTGATTGACATCCATAGCTGCCAATGGCGGCGCATGCCCCCTGTCCGGAACTGCAAATCACGTGTGTGGTTTAACCACCTCCCGTCTGGCCGTTGTATATAAACGGCTGGACGTTGGCAGTGCAGGGTCAGGTGGCCGTTTATAAACTGCCTCCTGCTTGTGCGCGCTCCCTGGGAGCATGCAGCACCGCGATCCGGTGCCCGCTGGGTCCTCCGGACACAGTGGAACACCGATCATTGTACAGGACCTCTGTGCGATGTCCCGATCATGTGATCACTGATTGGCCAATCAGTGATCACATGCAGAGTAGTAAGCAAGATAAGCAGATGTCACTTATGACATCATTGCTTACTACATGTGAAATCTGAATGATCAGAGGTCACATGGTACAAGGCTATTCACAACAGCCTTGTACCATGTGACAAGCTGTGACCAATCACAGCTCACAGTAGTTCTCAATGGCTGCAAGAATGCAGCCAGAGAGAAGGAGAAATTATTGCTTTTACAGCCTTTACGGGTGTAAAAGCAATCAGTGTAAAAAAAAAAAAAAAAAATCTTCATCACCCCCCCCACAAGTAGAGTACAGTGTCACCATAGTGACGCTGTACTGCTAGGGTGACAGTATGTTAAAAAAAAAAAGAAGAAACATAATATAAAAATGTAAAAAAAAAAAAGGTTTAAAAATTATAATTTTTGGTTAGAAACAAATTTGTTTTTGTTTTTTTTTACTAAAAAGATAAAGGAATAAATTTTGGCCAAGATTTATGATGAAATTTTATCTATTTGCAAAAAAAACATTTTTCAAAATTTTTGGACTTTTTTTCATTTACATAGCAAAAAAAATAAAAATCCCAGTGGTGAATAAATACCACCAAAATAAAGCTTTATCAGTCTCAAAAAATGCTAAAAAAATTCATATGGGTACATGACCGTGCAATTGTCATTCAAAGTGTGATAGCACTGAAAGCTGAAAATTGGGCTGGACAGGAAGGGGGTAAAAGTGTTCCGGACTTGAAGTGGTTAAAAAAAAAAAAACAAATGTTTTTATTCCATGGATTTACTACTTCTGATTTACATGATGTGTTGTGATTTACATCGCCTCCTACCTTTCCCAACGCTCCTTCAGCGTCACCTACAACACTGCCACCTCCCCCTCCCCCTCCCCCTCCTGTCGGGGTCCCCCAAGGCTCTGTCCTCGGGCCCCTCCTCTTCTCCATCTATACCTCCTCCCTTGGCAAACTTATTCACTCCCACGGCTTCAACTATTACCACCTCTATGCCGACGACCCCCAAATTTACTCTCCACCCTCCACCCTACCCCCTCACTCTCTGCCCGCATCGCCCACCTCCTAAACGACATATCAGACTGGATGTCGCTCCATTTCCTCAAACCTAACCTATCCAAAACCAAGCTCCTGGTCTTCCCCCCACCCCATGCCCCCCCCCCCCCGCATCCTCTCCATCACCACTAACAACGCCACCATCTCTCCCACCCCACACGCCAAAGTCCTGGGTGTCACCCTGGACTCCCACCTCTCCTTCCTACCCCACATCCAACTGCTATCTAGATCTTGCAGGCTCCACCTCCGCAACATCTCCAGATACGTACATTCCTCACCCCAGACACCACCAAACAACTCGTACACTCCCTCATCATCTCACGCATGGACTACTGCAACTCCCTTCTCACTGGCCTACCCAAACGAACGCTATCCCCACTCCAGTCGATCCTAAACTCAGCAGCTAGACTCATCCACCTCACCAACCGCTCCACATCCGCCTCCCCCCTCTGCCAATCCCTTCACTGGCTCCCGATTGCCCAACGCATCAAGTTCAAGCTGCTAACCCTGACCTACAAAGCCATTCACAATGCTGCCCCGAACTACATAACTGACCTGATACCCAGATACTACCCTACCCGTGCCCTCTCTAGCTCCCTGGTCTCCTCCTCCCACACCCAATTGCAGGACAATCTGCAGGAATCCTCTGAACTCAGGACCCCAATCCCTCAGACTGTCACCTACCCTCCTCACCTTCAGGCGCACCCTGAAAACCCTCCTCTTCAGGGAAGCCTACCCCAACCTCACCTAACAACTAACTCCTCCTCCACTCCACCCACCACTCCATCCCCCACAGCCATCTCCTCCTGTGCCACCTTCCCCTCCCTCCTAGATTGTAAGCTTGAAAGAGCAGGGCCCTCGAACCCCTCGTGTATTGTATTGTTACTGTCTTGTCTCATGTTATGTCCCCCTTGCTATTGTGCAACGCTGAGCATACCCTTTGGTGCTATATAAATACTGTATAATAATAATAATACATGTTGTGTACATTTGTTTATACTGTGCATCGTCAAAGACACTTGTTATATCTGCATTGTCTTTTGTAGGTCATGTGTTTCTGCTCATTCTTCACCTGCCACAATAGCGAAGTCTGCAAAGAAGGGAAAATTTCAGTTTTCCAGATTAAAAATGCTTCTTAGCCAAGATGAAAAGGAACCAAGTAAAAAGGGGGATTTACAGAATTTCCTAACCTCTCTTTCTTGATGAATATTAAATGTATTTCTGTCTCTTGAATTATTGGACATAGGAAAACATGTACAGTCAGCTAGAGGAACTTGAAGAGAAGTATTGTTTTGCACAAGTATTGATGTACACTCATTCGGATATATATTCATATTCTCTGTGTACTTGAGGTTTGATTATATTATTACTTTATTTGAAAGGTTTATCTTAGAAAATACTTTCATCATGTTCTACATGATCTAATATTATGGAGAAGAAAACAGTCAGAATAAAGATTTTGTATTTAAAACCAAGCTTCGTGTTAGTCTGAGAAAAGTCATGGTTGTTTGTTACAATCAGATGTTTTTGCTTTTTTTTGTCCCAGTGTAAAGATGGATGGATATCTATAGGCAGCAAAAACTGTTTTTTATGCATGAAGCTCAATGTTTTAGCAAAATAATTACAATGGGTTGTCTGCAGCAAATCAGCCAAACACCTGATAGAGCTTATCTGCCACTGACACAATTGACTGGTTTTGCACAGAACAGTCCCAATCCTCCTCTTCTGGGATCCCCCACCGGCGCTCTGGGCTCCTCTTCATGTGCCACTATAGGAAGACATGTGTGCTCGATCTCGAGCAAACCTGCCATTGACACACAGTGCAGCTCGACCTTGTCACTGGATTTGATTGACAGCAACAGGAGCCAATGGGGTGAGGAGGGAAAGAGCAGCTGTTCTTGGGCACAGTTCTGGATCAAAATTGGGCTCAGTTAAGTATTTGGGGTGGGGTGGGGGAGCTGACAATTTTTTTTACCTTTTTAATGCAGAGAATGCATTAAGGTAAAAAGAAAAAAACTTCAGCCTGTACAATCACTTTGAGAAGAGTACAATATTTTTGTAATACCGGACAATTTGTTACATAAGAATGGTAACTAATACTTGGTAAAATAGCAGCTGTTCTTCTTTATACCTTTTTTTTTTTTTTTATAGAGTAGGGAAGGATTAAAACACATTTTTATTGTGTCACCACTTGGGAAATTCATCCCATTTTGTTCTGGTGACAATTAATTGATGTACAAAAAATTGCTATGGGTATTACTGGAACAGGGACCAAGGAAAAAAATCTATCCCATAGCATCTCATTAGAGGGAAGTCTCCCCAACGGCACCAAAAAAAAAAAAAATAAGTAAAACATGAGAGGATTTAACCATTCCAAAACAAAAAAACAAAAAAATGGAAATCTGGTTTTGGGTCCATGTTTATTTCAATTTTTTTTTTTTTTTTTTATTTGTTTTTCCTCTTAAACTGGAACTTCACTCTCTCGGTCAACATTGACTATTTTTAATTCTTGGGCTGTTACCATTTGTAAATTTAAATAGGAAAGAATAGCATATGTACATGTTTTTAAACTTTTTTTTTTTTTTTTTTTTTTTTTTCTTTTTATTCAGTTACTTCCTGGTTTCCATGCCTAGGCAAATGATGTCATACATCCCAGAAGTCTTCAGAAGGAATCTCTCAGCTAAGCACACCCTCCTGCCACATGCTTGAGCAAAAGGCAAATGGATTCCAGGAAGTAAATGCTCCATGAATCATCCTCCCTTACTCCAGATAGATGGCCAGAAATGCTAGGGGGTGTTTTTCATGTCAGCAAAAATAAAACATGGAGACATGGATGGATGAGTTTCCGTTGAATATTAAACATTAAGTAAATCGCATTTTTGGGTTGTGGTGCTCAGATGCAGTGTAGTTTTACTTAATGTTTTTTTTTTTTCTGCTTTTTTACAAAAAAAAAAAAAAAAAAAGGAGGGAAAGCAGACAAGTCAATCCCCTTATTCATGTTTGCCTGCTTGCATTATTTGAAATTGACATCTGTAAACCCTAATAATGAACATATTTCCTTCCTTTTGCTCTTTTCCAATCAATCACTTTCAGTTGTATATCTATTCGATAAGTGCAGAAAAAGAAAATATCTGTTGATAATGTCAAAAATTCAAACCCATCTGGTCTCCTGTGCGCACTTCTACATGTCTAATTAGTCCTCCCAGTTCCTTTCTAAAATCATGTATCTGGCCAATCCCATAAGGGACACACTGACCAAAGGGGTGATTCAAAACCCTTGACATCCTGCTGTGACAACATGCTCCAATCTTGTAGAACAGGCATTTGATTCAGTCACCATAAGGGAATTGTCAAAATTGCCAAACTCGCTCATCCATGTCTTTATGGACTTTGCTTTGTGCACTGTTGCACTCATGTTGGAACAGGAAGGGGCCATCCCCAAACTGTTCTCACAAAGTTGGGAACATGAAATTGTCTAAAATGTCTTGGTATGCTGACGCCTTAAGAGTTTCCTTCAGTGGAACTTAGGGGGGTTAAGCACAACCCCTGACAAACAACCCCCTCCACCAAAAACTTTACATTTGGCACAATGCAGTCACGCAACTGTTGTTGCGCTAATCTGAAGGGCACGTGAAGTTTGGAGGTCTTTAGCTATTGACTCTGCAGACAGTTGGTGACTTCTGCACACTGTGCGCTTCAGCATGCGTTGACCTCACTCTGTCATTTTACATGGCTTACCACTTTATGGCTGAGTTGTTGCTGTTCCCAGTTCGATACAAAAAAACAATGGAGAACCACCTGTGCTACCCTGAATACACTTATTCTAGGAATGGGTTACCGCTGACACCTGGCTATACACCTGGATAGAATGGGATCAAAATTATAACAAAATTGGTGCTATACTCCCACACTTAAATAAATAATTAAATCAAAAAATGAGGTTTCAATTACACCCCTGGTGAATACTCCTGTGTGTAATTATCCCACACTCAACTCTTCATATTATTATACAATCTTATGCAGTGATGTTTGATAAACCATATGAAAATAAAAATGTGCAAAACGCATAAAAACACAATACATAAACCCACTTGTGTCCCTAAACAGGGTGAAATCACAAACATGTATTAAACCACACGTGATAAAACACTTGGCATAAATAAATGCCCAAAGGTGCAGTGGAAATAGACTGACAAATGGCACTATTGTGCCAATAAAAACAAATAGGAGGGTCAGGATAAATGGACCCTGACTATAAGACAATCTACAAGGACGATAACAAATCCTTCAACATAAATGTGTGACCACCACTCAACAAGTGCCCACATGTACCAAAGTATAAATTGCCGTGCTCTCGTCTCTAAACCTGGGACTATACTGCTATATAAATAGCAGGAAGAAAAAATAATTAAATATTGAGTGAATCCACAAATGAAAATCAAGTGACACTATGATAAACACATAACTTAAATTTATAACAAAGTCCACAAAAACACGTGCCACCAATTATTAATAAACAAATTGTCCTTGTGTATAATCTTCAATATGGCTGGATATATAGAAACCTCACCTTCATGAAGCGACCATGCAGGGTCAAACTGCTTTTTTGCTGTTAAGCACAGCCAACCACTCAATCCTCCACTTAAGATTCGTTATCACAAACAGTTATACACCTGTGGCCATGGAGGTGATTGGAACACCTGAATCCAATGATTTGTCCCAATACTTTTGACAATATAGTGTGTATATATACCATAGTTTCTAAGCACCTATAAAACTTCACACAGACTAAATAATATACATTGTTTTGGTTATTTTTACCAAAAAAAAGTATTGAATACATTTGGCCTAAATTTATGAAGAAAGATATTTATTTGCAAAAACTAAGAGAAAGAGGTGTGTTTTTTTTCCCCCAAAATATACAGTATTTTTTTTCTTGTATAGCAAGAAAAAACAGTGGTGAATAAATACAACCAAAGGAAAGCTCTCTAAAAAAAAAAAAAAAAACCCAAAAAACATTTGGGTACAGTGTTGAATGCGTAATTGTCACTCACAGTGTGACAGTGCTGAAAGCTGAAAAATGGCCTGGACTGAAAGAGGGTGACTGTATCCAGACTTGAGGTGGGTAAGGGACAAAAGATGAAGTGTTCAGGTGCTTCGGGTTATGCTGCTGCCTTCAGGAGATGGATGCTGGGAATCAAACCTGTAAAGACAGTCCAGTATAACCTCTTACTCCCAGCATGCCTTCTAGAAACATTTTTTCTAGCAAGTTTTTTTTAGTTTCTGACCAGCACATAGGGTTCATTTTGCAGGTTTCCAGTATGGAAGGCTGTACTCTGGCCCCACTGTGATGTGACACTGAGCATTGGATGCTGTGTTAGGTGCTCTCCTAGACATTCCTGGTGTGAAGTGTTAGCCATAGCATAATCACCTGGTGGAGCCCTATTCCTGAAGACTTCCTATGGAGTATGCTGAGGGATCTTGTAGCTTCCTCCCTGGGGGGGGGGGGGGGGTTTGACACCAATACCTGAACCACTGTTTCCTGCCTGAGTGATAACGATCCACACAGTTTTCCTCAAACCCTTCAGGGGCAGTGCCTTGTTTGCTTTTATAGAGGGAGGAATTCTCATCTACTGTGTCTGACTTTATGGGAAAAACTGCAAATATTATAGCTGACTCCGAACTCAGGGGCCACAAACATGCTTCAATGCCCTCTTCTCAAAAGTCTGTCTCAGGCTCTCCAAGGCTGCTGTTGCTTCTCCACAGACATCTAAGAATGAGTAGGACTTGAGGAGTGGTTACAGGAATCTCAATCTGTGGACATACCTCCAAAACTTAACTTTATTCAATATGTGCAAAGGGAGATCACACACATATAAGTAAAACATTTATTACAAGTAATGACAAATCCAAATAAAGAAAATATAACGATGAACTAAAAATGCTGTTTTTCTTTGGAGTCCCTGCCTGCTTTTTGTGGCATGGCCGACCAGGTTCAGGTGCATGCATGATTGCAAGCTCGGGTTTCAGACTAAATATTTGCAGCTACAACTGTAGTATATAGACTATAGACAGCCTCCAGCCAACTCCCCTTCTAAGTAACAAAATTACCTTTTAAGAATTTAGTCAATTTGTAATCACACATTCCTGAAAGGTTATATTCTGTGTATCTAGGAAACAATCCAGGCCTTTTTAAAAGAAAT